GTACATAGGGACTTGAGACAATTTTCGCAAAATCGGGTATATAGTATAATAGGGGAGTACTATATACCCGATTTTGCTAAGATTGTCGCAAGTCCCTGTGCCCCGGTACTGATAATTTAAAAGCTTTTTGGCCGTTATGATTTTGAAACACAATCATATATATATTTAAAGCAATTCTTTAGTTTGAATTTCACACTATTAATTATCAATAACAAATACAAAAACTATACTTACATTTCAAGGGTTAAAATTCCTGCGTTCACTAACAGACACATATGCTTTGTTCAAGTGCGGTACGTACGATGGCCGATATCAGCCTGTACATATTCTGACTACTATTGAAATTTGTACTTTTAAAATGTACATTGACATGTACATTTTGCACTGACAGTGCACACTTCGTGCTCTTAACTTTTGTCTGTACATGTACAAAATGGCAAAAAGGCAAATGTCAAAAAGTAGAGGCATAAAACACATATTCTTTTAATTAAAATTCCTGGTCGGCGAAGACCATTAAATATGAATAAAACTGTTCAATGGCACTGGAAAGAGTTGGACAATAAAAAAGAGACTGATAAATATTAGAGGAAAATGTTCTAAACCTTTGATTTAAAAGAAAACTCCAAACACTGCTCACTGAAGAGTTCTAATTCAATGGTAATTTTACACAGCTGGAAGGATCTGATAGAAGTACTCTTAACACGAAAAATAGTCGCCCGCGTGGCGCAGTGGTTAGAGCGTCTGCTCTAGAGTCGCGAAGTAAGGAGTTGATCCTTACGTCGCGGGTTCGAATCCCACTGTGGGACGTGGAGACCGGTCCTTCGGATGAGACCGTATAAACCGAGGTCCCGTGTCGCAGTAGGTGCTGGCACGAAAAAGATCCCTCACTGCTCAATGGCCGTAAGTGCCGAGTATAGGACAAAATTTGCAGCTCTCCACCGGCAAGTGGTGGCGTCTCCATATGAGTGAAAAATTCTCGAGAGGGACGTTAAACAACATACAAACAAAAAAAAACACGAAAAATGTTATTTTATATATACGTATAATGATTATGATTATTCAAAAAAGGGAAAACAAACGTATCATTTATAAACATCACTCCTTTCATTTTTCGTTCATTTTTTATAATTATGATTATCTTTTTTAAAGAAGATCGATTAATTTTAACTTACAGATGGACAAAAATTTTTAACATTTTCTTTTAATATTTTTCAGCTTTTTTACTGCAAAACTCTTCCCAGTGCCTTGTACAATTTTATTCATATTTAATGGTTTTCACCAACCAGGAATTTTAATTAAAAGAATATGTGTTTCAAACGTTCACATTTTGACATTTGCCTTTTTGCCATTTTGTACATGTACAGACAAAAGTTAAGAGCACGAAGTGTGCACTGTCAGTGCAAAATGTACATGTCAATGTACATTTTAAATGTATAAATTTCAAAAACAGTCGGAAAATGTACAGGCTGATATCGGCCATCGTAGGTACGTGACGGTTTGTGAAAAAAAATCTGATTAAGATGCCGGTTTCCTTGGAGACCGATGAGTCACCTGCCGAGCCAGTGAATTTCACCACTGACCTATTTATTTGGAGCTCTAAAACACAGCACTTTAAATTTAATTCAATGATGCTAAATATAGAATTTACCAAGTTACAACATTATACTATGGAATTCACAGACTTATAAAGTTTGTTTCATAATTTTCCATTTAATATAATATAGATCAATGTTTATAATGAGTTGCTTATTACATTTCCATCGATTTACAATAAATAAACATAAATTGATGAATGACACTTTTCACAATATTGGGCCAACATTGGACAAGCATTTCATCTCCAACATTACAGGCTACCGGTACATGTAATTCCAATATTCCCTCTATTGGACCAACTCTAGCCCAGTGTTACAAGCCCAACACAGAGCGGTGACTCATAATATTTTCATCATTTACTAAGCTGGACCAACGTTGGACCAACATTGAATGTCCAACACTAGGTGGCCACGTTTCGTGTCAACATGTACTCAGTTAGACCTACGTTGGGCCAACATTTCATACCCAACACACAATGGTCTTGATCCATGCCAACATTTACTCGGTTGGACCTATCTTGGGCCAACATTTTAATGTCCAACACATAGTCGCCATGGTTCTTGTCAACATGTTACTACAATGGGCCAACATTGGGCCAACATCGAATACCCAACACCGTTGGTTTAGCTTTCATGCCAACGTAGATCAACGTTGAACCAACATTGTGCCTACATTTGTTCCCCAACGCCCATACAACCAAAAACCAACGTTGGCCCAACATAGTAATGCTATCTCGGAGCTCAGGTGCACACATCAATACAATAGAATCAACGTGGAGGGCACTCAAGAAATCATTGCCCACACACGGAACACAGAAAGTACTGTTCGACAGTTATTTTGCCCAGTACTGTGTCAGAAAAGTATTTCTCAAAGACTCCACAGACCCGTTCCTAGCTTTCTGCAATATTATCAAAGAAGTCTACAACCCGGAATCCTCCAAATCAGAATTTGTTACTGAAACCAAAACTGTGTCAAATCCAGTACCCAATCCTCCAAAAACTCAAAAAAACTCAACCTTTAACCGACATCACTAGTGCCCTAAATAACAGTTTGGATGATTTCCAGATGTAAGGTAAGATAATTTAAATATTGCTATTCTTTCGATCAGTCACTGAAACAAAATGGCGTCGTAATGTTTACTTTTGCATAGCAACCAAGATGTGGGTCGCATGACATTCGCATTGCGTAAACTTCCGGGGACCGGCAAAGCAAATTCTACCCCAAATCACTATTTTTTGCCAAATAAGATATTAGGATTTTTATATATTTATTGCAGATATAAGTTCTATGAAATAACCCCTATTCATTCAATATGTTCAGACAGGTGTCTAACTCCCCCCCCCCCACCCCCCACCCATTTCAGGTCACAGTGCAGAGACCTCGATGTTTGTTCAGCGCATGAACAATTTGCCCCTTGGACCACCGTGTACTGTTTTAGAATATATATATTTATATTGATATAATAACGGAATGAATGTTTTGGAGATGGGAAAATAAAAAAAAAACAAATGTGCATGTTGTTCTTTTTTTTAGTATATGATCGTATTTTTTTACTTTTGTTATTCTGATTTACATATAAAATGAGCAACAAACGTAAGATTTTCAGGAAAAAAGCATTAATCTATACACATTGTTTTTTTTTTTAGTCTTTTAACAGACTATACATATTTAAGGTTCAGCAGCAAAGCAACATAGGAAAATTTATGAAATCTTATAATATTTTAGGAGGGGGGGGGGGGTATTGAAATGCATGTAGCGTCAAAATGAATGTGATGACCTTACTTCATATTTTAACCGTAAGTCACTTATAATAATTTGTACAAAATATATTAGTTTTTGGAAAAATCATTGGGTAATTTTTTTTGTCAAGACGTTGAGAACTGCTCTTGAGGTGAAAATATTACTGCAAATTTACAATGAATACTCCCAGAAGCAGCGGTGGCATTACTACATCTATCAATATAGTTTCCGATACAATTTTTATTTTCATTGAATATAAAGCATATTATTTAATATCTAGTGGAATTTTTTTTTTGTTTCAATTTTGTATGGCATATATAAAATTTCACCTCATAAATATCAAAATATTGAAAAACTGCGGTTACCATGGCAACCATATCACCCTTATAACCGTGATGACCATGGTTGAAATTTTCATATTATGATACCATTAACGTAAGGCAAATTATATGTAAAAATGAGAAAAATTCATTGAGCGGAATTTTTTCACGGACCCTTGCAATCGCTTCCTTAATGGACAATGTCTGTAATCACACAGATTATAATATCTTACGTGTGACATAATTTGGAGATTTTCATGAAGAAAGATTCAGCAACTGTTAGAAATCTCGATAATGTTTGATAAATATTATATCTGCATGACAATATTTTTTCTTCATAAATGATGCTGTTCTGAAAGTCCGGTGTCGTATTGAAGCTGAATTTAGACTAATATTTATTTAAAGTGTAATCTTTTTTACCATCGTCATTTCTGAAGAAAAATTGTCCATTCATGTTTGTAATTCTCTTCATACGTAGAATATATATTTCTCCTAACTACGAACATTGTACTCATGCTAACTCCTCGTTTAATGTTTATCTGTATGGCATTTGAATTTACTTATTGCTTTGGCCAGGAAGTGAGAATGCACTTGTATGGCATATATATTTATCGATGGCAGATCGCTTCCGTAAACACCTACTGCGACACGGAACCTTGGTTTAAACGGTCTCATCCGAAGGACCGGTCTCCACGTCCCACAGTGGGATTTGAATCCGAAAGGTAAGGATCAACTCCTTACTCCGCATATATAGAGCACCCACTGCGCCACACGGGCGACGTAGACTTTTTTTGGAGATCAAACACTGTTCCTTAATTTCACTTTTTTATTTCATACAATGAGTATTTTGAGAAAGAAAGAAAAAATATGGGTGTCATTTAAATATTTTGGATAATGTTTCTACTTTAGTAAAAATCACAGAAACCATTTCTCACAAAGTAATATTTGTAGATCGGGTATCTAATCTAAATCAAAGTTTACCCGATATTTTAAAAACAAATTAAAAAACCATTGGATGAGTATAATTTTTGGAAATATACTTTAAATGTAATCAAATATAATACATGTAGTTCAAATACCTCTAAACCATATACATAATGATCCAAAAGTTGAATTAGTTCAGTGGCATGTGCGGCCTTATTTTCTCAAATATCCGTGCTTCTAAACCATTTACATTCCGGAAGACTTCCTAATTTACTGTATAACAATATTCCTCTTTACGACAGGATACAAGATATAATATATGATATGATATGAGATATATGATATGATCATGACGATATGTTTTTTGTATTAAAAATTGGGATGAATGTGAATTATTCTGAAAGGTAAAGAAATCCTTGCTTAACTTTCTGAGCTCGCAAAATCCGATGATTTATTCACCGATTCAGAATTAGGATTTGTCAGCACATTATTAAATGGAACTTTGTTTTTGGGTTCTTCTTTTCTGATACCGTCTGTGGATGTGCTTGCTGAGTATCCGACACTACTTTGAAAACTCTGAAAAAGTGGATTGCTCTTTAAATTATGAGATTCAGGGTTCTTATCTCCAAATGCCTGAGACTTATCACGGAAGGGTTGGGGTTCAGTAGGTCGAAATATAGGAAATTCTAAGTTCGTATCATTTGTATTGGGTGAAATAAATGATGATGTTGACGTAGAAGGCACTGATGGTTGGCAGTCCATTTCAAATTGTGCCATTTCTTTCTCGTTAAGAGTAAATGATCGACTAGAACTTTCAACCATTCTGCTAGAAAAACTGTTTTCTTTTGTGGAATTAGTATTCGCGATATCATCATACTGGTCTTCCACAGTCTGACCTAACATGTCATATTCACAGCACTGTTGTTTTTTAGTGTCTGTGGCATCCAAATATCCACCATTAAGATTCTGTTCCTCGGCAATTCTTTCTGGGGATGTATCATCTCGATTATTAAATGATCTTTTGTCTGTTTTTAAACTTGACGACGTGATGTCTTGGTTCTCACTTATCCTATTATATATACACACACAAAAGTTTAAGGAATGCAAGTTTATAAAAACAAATATAAATACATTCAAAACATACGATTTACAAGTATTCACCTCTTCGTCATGATTTCCACAATGTCACAAGCCGATGGTCTGCAAGATCTATCACTATGCCAACAAGGGATCATGACGTCATCATACAGCCAGTCGGGACACTTCTCTGGTTTTTCTGGTTTCTGCCCCTCATTAAGTACACCAAGTATCTGACAGAATACAAATCTATGTTAGATGGATGAACTCAAATGGTCAAAGTTGTTGATGTCCAAAGAAATGTCTTATCACAAGAAATACACATGTGAAATTTGAAAGCCTAAGTACCAACTGCTCAAAAGTTATGGCCAAGGTTAAAGTCTCATAAAATTTTCTAAAAGTGGGTCAAACTCCAAGGTCAAAAGGTCGAATATGGTACCCAAAGAAAGGTCTTGTCACAAGGAATATACATGTGAAATATGAAAGCTATAGCTTCAACTAATCAAAAGTTATGGGCAAGGTCAAAGTTTTTGCGGACAGACATACAAACAGACGGACGGCTAGGGCAAAAACTATATGTCCCCGAATCTTCGATAGCGGGGGCATAAAAATATGGTTGAAAATATTGTGAAAGAAGACATAAATAAACATTAAAACGTTTTCTTATAGGCTTGTTTTTCAAAAATCATTATAACTTCTTAGTGTAGTGTTTACAGTTAATTTCAGAGGTAAGGAAAAATGTATTTACTTTCTAAATGGAGACAATGAAGGAATTTGGAAGCACATTTATCATACCATAGTGAGCGACATTGTTGAGTTTCAAAATGAAGTTTTGGTCATAACTTATTTCAGTCAAAAATAAGATACTAAACGTCATGATCTCAAACAGGTACTTAATTTGCAAATCTTTAACGCATCTTTTCAAAAAAGCTTTTAATATGTGATTTACTAGATGACACAAACACTTGTAAGAATAATATTGATGTGAACTATGAAAATATTTGATACAATATCGTTTGCAAAATAGTCATTTCTGTATCTATTAGAATATTAACAACAAAGTTCCAAGTGAATTATATACTCTGTGTTTCTTTTTTGTCCTATTTTAATTTGGATTATATGTTGCAATGTGTTGATTACTAGTATATGTTCTTTTCTACTTATATTGCTGTGCTGTTTTATTGCTACATTGATTATTTTGTTTTTAGATTTTTTTTAAAAATATTTTCAAAGAATGTGGATATGCCTGCGCATGAAATACATAAAAATACAATGATATATGGTAACTTCAAGCATAAAACTGAGTATCTAAAGCGTATTTTCTATATGTGCTGAACGTACCTGAGATTTATAATTTCTGGCAAAAGGTACAGTTTGAAGTTCGTCATGCCCTGAGAATGCCATATAAACTTGGTAAAACAACATCGCCATTGTGTAAACGTCACTTCCTGTAGATAATTCTCCAAAAGATATCACCTCCCTAGGGATCCTGTGTAAATGAATCGGATTTATAAAGAAGATAGACAACGAAAAAAGGGGATCTTTGTATAAGTAAAGATGACAAAATTTAGTATAGTATAGCTAAAAATCCAAGTATGTGGTTACGAGAAGAGACACTAACCAGAAGTTCAAATTCAAGACGTTTTCCTCTGTCATAATAAAGTAGAGAATGAAATCAAAAGTCAGAGGCCAAAGACGTAGAGAATTTTACCAAAATATCATGTCCTCAAATCTGTCTGAGACACGAATACTTCCTTGATTTATATCGGGTGTTTCCGGTAAGCGTACCATTGTCCCTAATTTTACAAGAAACGCCTAGAAAGAGAGAATACATCTATTTCAGTAATATTTTGAATCAGAACTTCATCATCACACTTTGTAGTGTGTATAAGCTGAAGACGATTCGTAAAAGGTACAGATTTATGTTTGTCCGTCATATTAGTCTGCAATTCCCCTTCTGTACGGCCCCTATATAAGCCGTTCTGTTAAATGGTAACGGTTCAGTGTAATCAGTTTTCATCGGTGTGGACGGACGTATTCTCACAACTATTGTAAAACTCTTGGTAGCGACAAGAGTAACTTGTGCTTCTTCCACGGAGAAGAGAAAGTTACCAAAGAAACTTACATCAGTTGCACAGGTCAGTGCAGTACAAACAAACACAAATACACGTAAACAGAAAAAAAATTGTCAACAAAGGTAATGTAAAATAACCAACACGAACTCGTGTCGTTCATTCCATGCAGGTACCTGTGGCAAGAAAGCAGTCAGTTGTAACGAATGCGAAGGGTATACCCCAGTGCTGGTATCGGAGATAGGAAAACTAATATGGCGTAAGCCTATTTACGAGTCGTGTTCAGCTTTAAGAGAGCAAACCCTTTAAGAATAATTGTACTAACAGTTATCCTAAGAAGAATTAAAGGTCACATGATACTTATCTTTACGATCATCACCTGTAAGAATACTAACAGTTGTTGTACATGTTTATTGTCTTAATACTTTTTTTTTTTAGTTTTCCCTTTTCAAGAACTGTTTCATCCTTACCCTGTATTGGTTTTCCTGATGTTGAATATAGATGTTCTTTGCTCTCAGCGCAACTATCAGCCATCTTTTTGCATGCATTTTCTGAACAAGCTGTGCCACAGCTAAAAGCATCATAGCACAAGAATGGTGGGACACATTGCCTTTCAGTAGTTTCAGAATATTAACAGCTTTGGGATACATGTATTTCTAAAATTTTGGATAAAGTTAATTAAAGGTTTTAATGAACAGCCTAATAATATGACTATAATGTGAGGTAGTAAGAGGCATACGCGGGAAAATTCTGTACTGACATTGTGTTTCACACATGAGATCAAACAAAGAATAACATCTTTGTCCTGCATTGTACCATATGTAGCATTTTACATCTCTTTAAACAATTCATTGCCATCTATGATAGGTATATGAATACTTACTAAAACATTATCTATTCCCTTTCCAGAGATACTGCCCTTTTCACGAGAGAGTGTATCAGCGATGATTCCCATTTTCTCACAGAAGTCAGGGCTCATGGTGGGTAGAATTTTCTCGCAAAATTGCACAGAGACTTGCTCTGCAATGCGTAGGTGTTCTCCCTGAAAATGTTTGCCGAACCATACACCATGCTTTCAAAATATTATACACAATACTATGTACATCTATGTTCAACCTTCAAGATAGAAGATTGTTTCAATCAATGACATCTGTTCTAGTAATATTATGAGACTTAAAGATAAGAGAGATATTTTACAACAATATTCTATTTGTTTTCACGCTTGACCTTTAAGATTTTTTTTGCCAACTTTTATAGCCAAAATAAACGATATTTACTGTTTCCTCGACGACAGGGTCATGCAATGGTTTGATGTCATCAAGGTCCAATACAGGTTCTTTTAAAGGACTTCGAGGATTCGGCATACTTTGGCGTCTCATCTCGATAACGGTTTTCCTAATATCTATAACATGAATTAACTCTATAATGTTTCTTTTCAAACTATCTATGATAATTTACGGCTTCTTTTTATCATTTCATTTGATATTTTTTTTGTTTAACTTTTCAGTTAATTATGTATTCGGACTGACTTTCTTTTTTCTCTAGGCTTTTCTCTTTAAGCTTTCTTATGAACGGAGAAATGCCCTGAAAATACAACAGAATACAACAAAAATGATTCCTATGAAAAACAAAATTTCTTGCATAAATCTTTCCTTTCTTTAAGTTTTTGTGCGTTTTATATTTTTTAAAGCAAATCATTTAGTATACATTGATAAGTTGTAGACACACCCTTTCTGGTTCATGGCCTCGTTCCTGTTGACTCTCACTGAGTCGTGGAAGATCGGGGGTTTCTTCACTCGCTTCAATAGAAACATTTCAATTTTTTTCCTTTTTTTAACTTTAAATAAAAAAGAATGATTTAAAAATAATAAAAACAAAATTGTTTCCATCATACCGTAATATTCATTGTTGAATTTACATTAACCATATGAAGAAAAATGTGAATGGATATTAATTCCCATTCACTTCATACTTTCACCATTTTTATGAAAATAATACTGCTGTTTTCTGAGGCAATATATAGAATTCTACTTTTTAAACTTGTTAGATCCGATTTATTAAAAACCATTTGAAACTTGAAAGAAATGTTCAAGATCAGCAACTGTTTCATATTTCTTCCATCAATGTAACGTTAGGATCGATAAAATGATATTTTACGTTCCTTCAATCTCTTAAAACGAATAGTTCAAACTCACTTCAAAGACAAGCATTAATTTAAAAAGTATTTTAAAAAAGTCTCTGTGTTTTGTTTTACAGAGTGTAATAATTACTATCATTACAGAAAAAATAATTAAACATTTATCTAGGCAATTTAATGTTCGTGCAATGATTTAACGGTAAATACATGTTTATTTATGGGATTCGATGTATCCCATTAAACTCTATATAAAAGACAACCACAGATTCTAACAAATCTGTTTCATATTTGGATATTGTTTCTTAGAGAAAGACATTAATGGCAAACTAACAGCTAAAATTTATGATAAACGTGATAACTTCAACTTTACTATCGCCACCTTCCCTTATTTGTGTAGCAATATACCATTTAATTTATCACCTGCATATGGAGTTTATCTCTCCCAATTGATTCGATACGCAAGAGCATGTTCTACATACGAACAATTTCTAAAACGAGGCAGACTATCCAGAAATAAGTTAAAGATATGAACAGTATCATTTCAAGTCAACATTTCGAAAATTCTATGGTCAATATAATGACGTTGTTTGCAAATATAATATGTCGTCATGTCGAACGTTGGGGACTGACTTATTTCATACAAATTGTTTGGCCATTATTTTCACACTTAATTGTGTACGGATTTTTTTCCGTTTATCCGACCATGACAAAGAACACCCAGTCTGCGTGACCGGTTGACAGGGAATTTATACTACACGGCGCACCTGATCCCACCTCTGTTGTCAGAGGTCCGTGTTGGCTCAACTCACAGTTTGTATTGTTTTCGTAAGTGGACTTTTGATCGATCTATACCAACATCATGCCAATGAAACTTGTAATGCTTCTGGGTTATTGTTTTAGTTATATATTATTTCAAAGCAATAGATAAAAAAAGTTTAAATATCAAAATTCTTCTGCATATACAGTGATATCATGATTATATATAACAGAATAAACTAGAGGTTCTGTGAGCAATTACCTCACGAAATGATACCTTCGCTTCCAAACAAGTACAATGGCAAGGTCCATGATTTGCTATGGGAAACCCCAAATATCTGTCCGATGAAAGTGTAAAATAGGAGGTGCACAATGGCACTATATGATAAAGATTCTGTCAAAGACTCATTAATTTCTATTCAGTGGTATAGGAGGAGTTGAGGATAACAGATGTTTACCACCAATATTTATAGAAAGAATGGCAGAGTCCATGTTTTACTATAGGAAACCCCAAATATCTGTCTGATTAAAACGTAAAATAGAAGGTTACATTTTTTCAGTGGTTTAGATGAGCTGTGGATAAGAGATGGATACCCTCAAAATAATAGAAAGAATAGCAGTGTCCATGTTTTGCTGTGGGATTCCTCAAATATCTGTCCGATCGAAATGCAGAATAGGAGGTGCTTCTTGGCACTTTTATAAAGATTCTTTGAAAGTCCCATTAAATTTTATTCAGTGATATATAGGAGAAACTGCGGATAAAGGATGGATACACTTAAGCGTAACGGACGCACAGAAGGATTGGAAGGACGGACAAACACCCCAAATACTAAATACAAAATGCTTTTTCAGCGAAGTACATGTAATACTGAAGTATTTGCTTTTACTAGTAAAATATATATATTGCTCTGAATTATCAATAAAATACTTCAGAGCGATTAACTTTTAGTAATACTTGCATTTCATTGTACCACTATTTGAAATCATAATTAGTCTTTCTGTGTACATACCTCCTACTACTCGCTTATCCCTTAGCCTTCTGAGCTGTTTCAGGATTTCTTCAGCAGATGGTCTGTCTTTTGGGTCTGTCTTCCAGCATGATAGTGCTAACTTGTGGTAGTCATAAGGAATACAGGGCCACCGGTAAGGGGATATGTCTCCTGATAATACCTGCATTTTTTTCGGAGTAGAATATGATATTTGAAATGAAGCAATATTCATCACCACAGTTTCAAGATTGAATTAAACCTAAGTGTAGTTTGTCAGCATTTTGTTTACACACTTTTCTTGTAGTCACAGTCATTTACCATTAAGCAATGAAAGTTTTGTTAACTTTAAAACAACCATAAAAAAAACAACAAAAATTCCAATGTGTTCGAACAAGCAACATTTAAAAAGGATGCTCTTTACGTGTTCAAAACGTTCTTTTATCATAAAAACTTATTTGCAAATAGCATATAAGTTGAACTTATATTCTGAAAAGATGACTGCATCAGGTAACGAGTATTTCAGTATGTGTTGGAAAAGGAAAGATTTGAACTTTTCAACATATGAACATCAATTGCTGGTTTTGTATAGTAAACATAACTTGCAATTTTACCTGTAAATAAGACAATATATATATATCTTTGTTGTCTAAGTATCAAATTAAATGATCCATACCCCTGATATAATATCATCTGTGGTTGAGCTGTACTGATCAGTAAATGGTTCACATCCGTAAGTAAATAGCTCATGGATCACGTGACCAAACATCCAGATATCGGATCTGGCGTCGTAGCAATTTAAAAGGATTGACTCAACAGCCGACCAACGAATAGGAAAGCCATCTCCCTGCATGTCTAAAAGGAAAAAAAAAACAACAGGAAGAAATAGCGATGTCTATGACGCAATTAAAGAGATAACATTTGCAAAAGTGACGTCAGTGCTTATCTAGGTGCAATATATTTTGGAATGAAATTTTACCTGCTACCTGACAACTTGCTGTCATACTAAAATCTGTTTGACATGCAAGATTCAAATCATACAAAACGGCTGCATCCTCTTCCGTCTCTGGGAATTGTGCAAGGTGAAAGCACCGAAGTGTGACGTCACGATGAATGATCTTTTTGCCATGTAAGTAATTGAGAGCGCTTATCATTTCAATCAAACGATTATTTAACCAAAGCACAGAAAATCTTGTTTTTTGTCCTCGTATTTCTAGAAGTTTTTCCAATATTTCTATCCTGTGGTTTTCTTTTACATAGAAAGGAAGGGAGTTTTTTAAGTCACTATAAGCCAGTAATCTAACAACATTGATGTGAGTTTCATCCTTTTGTAGTCCTAAAAGAATTTTGAAGTCATTTTCCAGCATGCTGTTCTTTATCTTACATTTTTCTTTTATTCCCTGAAGAGAACTCATTGATATGCCTGGAACACAAATGGCAATGCTTGCCTCGCACTTGTTGATGCGCCCTTGACAAAAAGACCAATATGAATGATCAGTCTTTTTTGGCAGAGTTTTTCTTTTCGTGTGATGGAAGACTACATCAGTGACGTGTCTTTGAACGTACGTTTCTGTAAATTCCAACAAAGATCTTTCAGAGATGTTCAGACATTGGATGATGGTATTTACAAGTTGTTTGTCACCTGTAAAGAGATGATTGGAGAGTTCCTCTGGGAGAGGTAGAAAACTCTTGTGTCCTGACATCCTGCTCCAGCAGATCTCGACGACCTTCAGAAGGTCACCCTTCTCTCCCTTAGCTAAAGAAAAGATGGCATCTTGTCAGTCCATATAAAACTCTCATCATTGGGTAAAACTTCAATTTGCTTCCTCTTTATTAGGGATAATGATTGATTAGAGAGTTCAGATGACGTCTACAGGTAATTAATTTCTTTTGTTCCAGTAAGTGATTGAAAAACATGTATTCATCTTTTAATTCAGATTGTATGTATAATGAAAATTTCTCTTGCAAATGGAACAGCAAGCAATAGTAAGCTGATTAACTAGTAGTTTTAGTTAAAAAGAAAGTTTTGAGCGCCGAGCTTTGGTTTGATGGTAGATGGCGTCATCACAACGCTATGGCACTATGTTTACATGTAATATTTTAAATTTGATCCTTTTTTAAATTAATGTTTTATTTATCATATTCCCCCTGCATTAATTCCATGTAAAAGTTTTATTTATACCATATCTTGTGTATATTTTTAATACTTTCATATGCATGGGATATAGTGCACTGCATTGTTTTAAGTTTTTAAACATGTAACCAATATGTATATTGGTCGGTTTACATGCTAAGATTTCCTCCATATTTTGAGGACTTTATTTACAGATTCCTCCATTTTAGATGTTTCCAATATCCTAAATTTAGAAAGAGAGCAAGTAAAACATTCTTTGTTACACCTGAATTTCTTTTGTGCTAAAATTGTCCATGTCATTTTCTAGGGTGTCTATATTAAGTTGCCACTTACGATGACAAAGACAAGCTCCAATTCCACGTAAGGTAATCTCGGCCAAGGCATGGTGCTGTACTTCTGACCACTTTTTATCGGTTTTCTTCTGGAGAAATAATAATCCTACAAACCTTAAGAACTGATCATGCACCGACGCATTGCTCTTCAGCTGAAATGTTTAAAGCAAACCGATTATGGTCGCTATCAGCATTCTGATATAAATAAATACCGCTTCTAAAAATATTTACAAATAATAACACACCTTGTAAAATTGTATTTACATTGATAGTTTTAGACTAAAATGCTATTTTTAGACTAAAAAGTTTTTCAAAAACCCCGCAGGAAAAGAACCCCTGTTAAACAGTGCAATAAAATAACGATTTAGTCTATTGTGTAAGGGGAGGCAAAATTAAAGTACCTACTAGCCTAATAATACTTCTCTCATATAGCTGTGGTGTCTTACCTTTAGTAGAAATGCAAACAGGGCCATGAATTGTTCATTGAAAGACTGATTTTCTATGCTGACTAGGTGTTCAGCATGTTCTTTTGAGTAAAAGGCATCTTCCCATCTTTCAAAAATGACACGAGAATGTCTACTTAACTGAAAGCCAGATGAAAGTGACCTGGCAAATAAGGCCATACATTTCAATGCAGCAAAATTACGCGGTTGAGTCTTCTTTAATTTCCTCTTTGAACTCAGTTTTGTATACACATCATCAATATTCTTGCATATGTCACAAATTTTGCTTTCAATCTCTTTCTTTTCATTGTTTCGGAAACAATACTGTAGCATGGAAATTGCCATGATATCCATAATTGGTAAACATGATTCGTACCACATTTCTAAATCCTCTTCAACTGTGTCCCTTTGGAATCTTTTCATCAAATTTATCAGACAGCTTTTTATGTCCACAAAGGGCAGGGCCGAAATATCTAACCTGCAGATAATACATTTCAGTTTTCCAAGTATGAATTTCTGAAATTGCCTGTCTTTACATACTAATAGTTTTGAGAGTTCTGCAATTTTTTTGGGCTTTGTCAAACGCGGAACGATATGAGTGCGAGTTCTTTGGATTAAGTCTTGTAATTCTACATCAGTAAACCTTTCACATTTTTCTTCAAAGTCTGAAACTAGTTCTGTTTTATCTAAATGAAAGATAATTTTAATTCTTGAATTAGCATTGACATAGAATCCTATCAATTTCTCTCTTCTAATATATCAATTACCTGAGATGAGATAAAAACTATTTTCATTCTAGTATTGTAATTAAAATAATAGATTTATACTTAAAACTATTTTCATTCTAGTATTGTAATTAGACTAATAGATTTATACTTAAAATAACCAAAACTCAATAAAAACAAGATGTGTTTGTGAAACACTGATGCCCCCGTATGGCAGCTTATGGCGAAGGTTAAAGTTTCTCAAATGCAAGTCAAAATCCAGGCCAAAAGATAAAAAAAAATGTTGGTACCCAAAGAAAGGTCTTGTCTCAAGGAATATACCTGTGAAATTTGAAAGCCCTAGCTGCAACTATTAAAAAGCTATGGCGAAGGTTAAAGTTTTCTTAAAGTAAGTAAAACGTCAAGGTCAAGGTCAAAGTTGTTGGTATCCAAAGGAAGGTCTTGTCACAAGGTTTACATGTGTGAAGTATGAAAGCCCTAGCACCAACCATTCAAAAGTTATGGCCAAGGTTAAAGTTTTTCGAAAGTAGGTCAAACTCCTAGGTCAAGGTCAAAAGGTCAAAGTGGTTGGTATCCAAAGAAAGGTCTTGTCACAAGGATAACATATGTGAAGTATGAAAGCCTTAGCTCCAACAGTTCAAAACTTTTTGGCCAAGGTTAAGTATTACAAAAGTAGGTCAAACTCCTAGGTCAAGGTCAAAGGGTCAAAGAGGTTGATATCCAGAGGAAGGTCTTGTCACAAGGAATACACATGTGAAGTTTGAAACCCCAAGAACCAACTGTTTAAAAGTTATGGCCAAAGTTAAAGTCTCATGAAATTTTGCAAAAGTGGGTCAAACTCCAAGGTCAATGTCAAAAGGTCAAATTTGATGGTATCCAAAGAAAGGTCTTGTCACAAGGAATACACATTTTAAATATAAAAGTCATAGCTCCAACCAATCAAAAGTTATGGGCAAGGTTAAAGTCGACACAACAAACAGACAAACAGATAAACAGACAGACAGGACAAAAACAATATACCCCCGGGATCTTTCGATTCGGGGGCATAAAAATATTTTCATAGATAAAGTATCATTAATTTGGTAATGCCATTGCGTACCTTTAGAGGAAACCAGACTGTGTAATATTCTAGGCTCATTCCCCAATGCTCTCTGATAACTCTCCGCACTGACAAAGTAGTCCTTGGTGTGAGGAGCAATAGAGGTATACAGTGTAATGTTTAAACTGGAATTTTTGGGAGTGTAGCCGAAGTCGTCCATCTTAAAGTTGGATTCCAGGAGGCGCAACCTCTATCCTGTGCATTAAACATGCTTTTGAAAACTTAATGCATTTAAATGTAACTAAAATAAAATGAAACGTAACATAAAGATAAAGATTTGCTTTATATTAAGATGAAATCGAAACCCCCAAAAAGGTGTCTGCAGATATAACCCCTGAAATAGTATTTACAATAGTTTAACAACCATACATGGTTAAGGCTTGTAAGATCGCCAAGGTGCATTTTAATTATCTTTATTTTAATTTTCTCATATAGCATTTTTTTTTCATAATAACAATAAGTATGGGGACGAGAGGAATAAATATTAATACGCTTGTTTGTCAGGAATTTTTGCTCTTTTTGAATATAAGAAAACTTAGAATAATATGACTTTCAAACGAGACTAAGAAGTCGTATGGTCATATTATTTTATGAATTCTGTGTTTGGTCTAGTTGGTCTTCGGAAATGATCGCTTGTATTGCCCAAGTGAGGGTATGTCCCGAGACACAGTTTGTTCTTCCAAAGGAGAGGCTTTTACATTATGTATATTATTATTATAAATAATAATAGATGGTCATAGGTCACCGATCTAACAGGTCGATCGTAAAAGGGCTCCCAAGGAAACCTCAATAATGAGAAATTTTAACGACAGACGTGAGTATAAAAAGTGTGTATATACATGTAATTCCGATGTATGATGTTGACTGATGAAAACTAAAGATTGTTGGTAATTATTTTAAGCGTCATATACACGCAAATTTAGCTCTGATGAAGAGAAGCCTTTCAAGCGGGAGGGGGGGGGGGTATATATAAATATGTAATATGTGTGGTTTATCAAATGTATGGTACGAACAGGGTGTCAATATAAGTTATATATGGATACCTGTGAATGTAAAACAAATATTTTTTTAAAAAGATCAGTTTATCCAAAAATGGTCAAGTGACGTAAAAAATTCCTTAAAAGGACAGATGTCCAGAATTTTTAAACAAAACTTTGGATTAAAAAATTATTTTGATAAGTTATCTCCTTAACATTTTTAAAATTTTGAATTGCAAATCATAGAACTTGTTCACTTTGTAATAATACTGGTGATGAATTCCATTACATCCTACAATGTAAAGCTTTAATTAATATAAGAAAATATGACCTTGGTAAATATTACTCCTACAGACCGAATATTATTAAATTTATGAAATTAATGTTAACTCAAAACGAACAAAAATCTGAAAAAGTTATGTATGTTTACCCTAAAAAATTATGATGCTGTCTGTCCTCCTTGATATATTTCCCTTCCTCTCTTTACTTATTTTCTGTTATGCTTTTAATTGTTTTGTACCTCTGACCAGCTTGAATAAAATGTATATATGTTATTAATGTACCTTATGTACCAATTTTTTGGTTTGGGTGAATAAAACTTGGACTTATTCATTTAATGTGCATGCAGTGTCTGTAAACACACAGGTTATAACATTCTACGTAAAGCATTTATTATGGAGATTTTCATGAAGAAAGGTTCGAAATATGTAATGAATCTCGACAACGTGAAATATATGGAGATAACGAACAGTAGTCAAGCTCAAAAGTCCATTAAACATTACAAAATAGGAGCAGAGCAAACACGGACCTCCAAAACATCAGAGGTGGGATCAGGTGCCATGGAGGAGTGAGCATCCCCTGCCGACCGGTCACATCCGCCGTGTGCTCCTTATCATGATCGGGAAATAACGGAAAAATCCATCGACAATTCAGTGTGTAAATAATGGCCTAACATTTAATATGAAAAACGTCAGTCAGCATTTGACTCAATGATAAATTGTATTTGCTGACAAGGTCATTGTATCGACCATAGAACTTACGAAATGATGACTTTAAACGAGACTGCTGATATTCTTGTTTGTCAATAATTTACCTCGTTTTAGAAATTGTACATACATAGATCATGCTCTTGCGTATCGAATCAACTGAGAGGTATAAACCCCGTATGCAGGTGATGAAGGTATATTGCTGCATAAGTAAGGAAAGTTGACGATCAAAAGTTAAAGTTATCACGTTAAATAAATATTATATTTGCCTGACAATATTTTTTCTTGATACTGCTGCATAGAAGATATCTTTTTCACAAAGTAATTATAACGTGTATGCCATATTTAAAAGGGCTCACTGCCGGTCGAAAGACAATGGTATATTAAAAGATTAAAAAAATATGATGCTTTTTAAAGCCTGTTCGGATGGATCGGAGTCTTATTGAAGCTGATTTATGGAAAGTTTTAATCAAAGTCATTTCTGAAGAAAAATTGTCCAGTCCTGTTTGTAATTCTATTCATACATGGAATATATTTCTGTTAACGACTATTGTCCTCATGCTAACTCATTGCTTAACTTTTACATATAATTATGATATTATTTGTACGAAGTGAGGGTGATGTTTCCTAAATGGTAACAGACTTACATATGTTTTAAATTGATCATCCTTTACGTACCTTGATACTTGAACTATCCTTTGACACAAATAAATCTGGTGATAAAAAGTCTTAAACAACACTGCATCTCACTTCTCTATATAAGAATTAGGTATAAGACGGAAGAATCACCTTACAGAGAAGTGGATGACACCTGATTTAATGACTGGTGGAATTTCAGGACAAAACCTACACAAAAATGTTGTCTAAACTTCCTCTTTCGATCTAGGTCGGGTGACACGACAGATTCAAAACAGAATTAAATGTCATTCTAAAAGTGTGGCGTATATGAAAGTTCTTCACCACAATTAAATGACCTACCGGGTATCTACTCGGTTAAAAGGTAATTATGATTTATTTAAATTATCAGTGGACAGTTTACAAGAGATGAAATCACGCCGCTTTATCTTTATGCCCCCGTATCGAAGAATCGGGGGTATATAGTTTTTGCCCTGTCCGTCCGTCTGTCTGTCTGTCTGTTTGTCCGCAAAAACTTTAACCTTGCCCATAACTTTTGATTGGTTGGAGCTATGGCTTTCATATTTCACATGTGTATTCCTTGTGACAAGACCTTTATTTGGGTACCACCATATTTCACCTTTTGACCTTGACCTTGGCGTTTGACCCAGTTTTGCAAAATTTTACCAAACTTTATCCTTGGCCATAACTACTGAACAATTGGTGCTAGGGTTTTCATACTTCACATGTGAAATCCTTGTGACAGGACCTTCCTTCGGATACCAACAACTTTGACCTTTTGACCTTGTCCTAGGAGTTTGACTTACTTTTGAAAAACTTTAACCTTGGCCATAACTTTTGAATAATTGGTGCTAGGGTTTTCATACTTCACATGTGTAATCTTTGTGTCAAGACCTTCCTTAGGATACCAACAACTTTGACCCTATGACCTTGGAGTTTGACTTACTTTTGGAAATCTTTAACCTTGGCCATATCTTTTGAACAATTGGTGCTAGGGTTTTCATACTTCACATGTGAAATCCTTGTGACAGGACCTTCCTTCGGATACCAACAACTTTGACCTTTTGACCTTGTCCTAGGAGTTTGACTTACTTTTGAAAAACTTTAACCTTGGCCATAACTTTTGAATAATTGGTGCTAGGGTTTTCATACTTCACATGTGTAATCTTTGTGTCAAGACCTTCCTTAGGATACCAACAACTTTGACCCTTTGACCTTGGAGTTTGACTTACTTTTGGAAATCTTTAACCTTGGCCATATCTTTTGAACAATTGGTGCTAGGGTTTTCATACTTCACATGTGAAATCCTTGTGACAGGACCTTCCTTCGGATACCAACAACTTTGACCTTTTGACCTTGTCCTAGGAGTTTGACTTACTTTTGAAAAACTTTAACCTTGGCCATAACTTTTGAATAATTGGTGCTAGGGTTTTCATACTTCACATGTGTAATCTTTGTGTCAAGACCTTCCTTAGGATACCAACAACTTTGACCCTTTGACCTTGGAGTTTGACTTACTTTTGGAAATCTTTAACCTTGGTCATATCTTTTGAACGGTTGTTGCTAGGGCTTTTATACTTCACATATGTAATCCTTGTGACAAGACCTTTCCTTGGATGCCAACAACTTCGACCCTTTGACCTTGACCTTGGAGTTTGACCTACTTTTTGAAAACTTTATCCTTGCCCATAACTTTCAAACGGTTGGTGCTAGGGATTTCATATTTCACATGTGTAGTTCTTGTGACAAGACCTTTCTTTGGATACCAACAACTTTGACCCTTTGACCTTGATCTTGGAGTTCGACCTACTTTTGGAAAACTTTAACCTTGGCCATAACTTTTGAACGGTTGGTGCTAGGGCTTTCATATTTCATATGTGTAATCCTTGTGACAAGGCCTTCCTTTGGATACCAACAACTTTGACCCTTTGACCTTGACCTTGGAGTTTGACCTACTTTTGGAAAACTTTAACCTTTGTCATAACTTTTGAACGATTGGTGCTTTGTCTTTCATATTTCACCTGTGTATTTCCTGGGAGAAGGCCTTTTCTTGGGCACCATTAATTTTGATCATTTGACCTTAATGTTTGATATACTTTTGAAAAAACGTTCATCTTTCCCAGATCTATTGAATGACTGCTGCTAGGGCTTTCATATTTTACAGGTATATCCCTCGAGACAAGATCTTACTTTGCGTACCAACATATTTGTTTTGCATTTGAGAAAGTTAAACCTTTGCTATAAGTTGCCATACGGGGGCATCAGTGTTTCACAAACACATCTTGTTCTTTACGTAAACGGTAAAATATTTGTTAAGACACTGGAGAATTATTCTATTAGGTATAAGCAAGTCAATTACATTTAAATCTCTCTAATTTAGAATAAGAAAATAGAGATTCAAATCAGTGCGAAAGAAGCCTACAAATGAAAACAGTTTGAATTGCAAGAATGGCAAATCCACGATTTCTCAAAATAAAATATATTAAAACTGTCCTTAGAGGTCAAACATAAAAGTTTATTCACGATCTAGTTTTAAAAAACCAGACAAATTTCTAACTAAA